AAAAATCGCCATTTTTGGTTCATTTTAAGCCAGTTTTGCGCGGTCACGATGTTTAACTGGCGATATTTTCCTTATTACAGATTTGAGCATCTTGAGGCCGCAAACAATCCATTGAGCTTAAAAAAACTCGCAGGGGAAATTTTGAAATTTTCCTAATGATAGTCGATTTAAAAAAAAAGTTTCTGAAATGTCGCAAACTCCTCATTATTTTGTTCTTGAGGGAACAAGGAAAGCAAATGAGCTCATTGGAAAACCTACTGGAAGGTTCACATTGGTAAAAATCGACATTTTTTGTTCATTTTAAGCGATTTTTGGGCGATTACGATGTTTAACCGACTATAGTTTTCCTATTTAAGACTCGAGCATCTTAAATATGTACATGAGGGAACTACTTAGTCTGGAAAAAACATTCTTAAGGGTGGGGGTCGATTTGTTAAAAAATATCAACTGTCAAAATGCCTCGAATTCTACATCACTTTCGTTTCGAGGGAGCCAAAAACGTAACGCGCTCATTGAAAAAGTGGTACTCTTTGTTGTGTGAGCCTCTGCACATTTAGTCAGAGCACTTGGAGTTTACGGCCGGTGCGGGTGATCTTGGGCGAATTGTGGGAATGCCGCAAAGTTCGAACGCTCGTATTACTAGCGGGCAAAATTTAGATATGTCCTTAACCGAGTTGAGAAAATGTAAAAAAGTGTAAGTAGTTTCGAACAAGATCCCTAATTTCTGTAATTTTTGGTCGTGGATCACAAAAATTCCATCATTCATTCTTCCCCCGTTTCGAACGCTCATCGTTGAACAACATTCGTCCTCAACAGGTAAAAAAATATTGAAGAAATTCAGCAGAAACAGTTTTTTTGTTTGCCCATTGGACCAGTGCCCCGAACGTTGTTCCAGCCGACTGTTTCCTTTTCGATTGACATTGAAAACTGGAAACTATTTTTCTCGACGACAAAGAGTGGGGCAGCATCCACCCAAAGAGGTGGAGGATGCATCTCGGTCGGAACGGCGGATTCGTCGCCTTGACGCGTCGTCATAGGGACGACGCTTGGCGTCCCCGAAACGCGCCCGGTTGCCCGCTTTTCCGAGCGGTTGGCGCGATTTCGATTTTCCAGTAGGCGACTTTCCAATCGGCCTCAGGAAAACTCGGTAAATTATTCAATGGGCGCGTTTCTACCCGATCGAAATCATCCACCTTGGTAGCGACATAATCGGCTCGATCTAGAGCCAGCCGGTATATGTATACCTACTTCGATTGATGATCAGTCAGTCAATTTTCCTCGGTGGAAAAACTGCGCACAGTTTTCCTCAAAATACATAAACACTCCGATTGGAAATCGTCGCCTGGCACGTGCCCTAATCCAGCGGCTCTGAGTAAACTTACCGGGTTGTTTGGATTGTTCGCCGATGGCGAAAGAAAACAAGTGTCGCAAATTAATTTCCAAACCGCCGACTTGAACATGTTTCAGGGCTGCAGGTGCCCTCATTGCTTACTCGCACCACAAACAGCAATTTAACACGCAAATCGCCAACGAAGTGTGAGTCGTGAAGATTGACTCGGTTTGTGATTGCTTTCGTGTAAAAAGTCTAGAAGTCTAGTTTGTCTGAGTCACTTCTGAGCTCAGTGGATTGATTTCGACCTCAGAAGCGCCTCTATATGCATTCAGAACGGGTGTGTGTCCATAATGAAGAAGAGATTAAAGATCGGACTCGCTCAAACTGGACCATAAAATCGGTTATTTCGGTTCAGAGGGACCAGTCTAGTGCGTGAATTTCTCAGCTCAATGGACTGCTTGGTATCTAAGAATTTCCCCAACCTTCTTATACCGGGTGTTCGATTCCAGATTAGTCCGGCAGAAAAGCCAGTTAAATTGGGTCAAAATGTGAGATTCCTTCGGATCACATCGGTTTAAAGTTTTTATTTCAGAGCAGTGTTGGGCAAAAAATGTTTATTTAAATTAATAAAAAAATCATGATTTTTTTGATTTTCATTAAATCAATTGATAAATCCGCTTGATTAGCTGTTTTAAAGTCATTGCAATTGTTGCCGAGAAGATTCAAGCTACGTTGAACCGATTCTCCGATATCCGAAGTGTCTGATATTCAAATTTCGCTTTCTGGGTC